CTGGCTGGGGAATTCTGGGAGTTGAAGTCCACACATCTTAAAGTTGCCAAGGTTGAGGAACACTGGTATAAGTAGTATCGTGTAATGAACTCTAACCATTGTGTCTTTAACTCAAATTTTGCTACAAGAGGCTCCGTTCTTAACCCGGGGACTCCCTGTATTTTCCTTCACATCCAGACTGGTGCCCCCTTCCCCAACAGACCAGTCTTTCCAGCCTTATTATGGGGGGTTTTCTGGCAGGAAGAAATAAAAAGCTCGGCAGATTCAGGAGAACAACGCCCAGGCGCATGGATCCTCTTTCTCTCTCCGGAGCGCCCCGCAGGCCCTGGGCAGAGGGAACAGACACCGACATTTCCCACTAATTTGGTCCCCAGCCGGCCATCCCTGCTCCGTGGCCGAGCCCTGCGCTGCTCCGGTGATCCGGGAGCTCCTTCCTCCCCGCCAGCCTGTGAATTAGCACAGCGAAAGGGAAAGAAGAGGGGGATCGTGACAGGCCAGCCTTAGATCTTCTTTGACTGCTAAAGAGTCACCCCACTTTGGGCTCCCAAACCTCGAGGGCAGCATTAATAAAGGGGCGGAAACTTAACCAGCAGCTCGGCAGTTTGCAGGCCACGAACCCCGCTCGGCAGCGACGCTTTCAACGGCGCCAGCCAGAGGACGTGAGCACAGCGGGGAAACGGGCACAGAGCACCTGAAAGCGATTCCCATGAAAAATTTAATTTTGAAAGCCCAGAGGTGTTGATGCTCCCCTTCCTGCTCCCAGCTCACGTTCGATCCAAACAGAGACTGAGTTACAGGCATTTATATCACAGGGTCCCTGCAGGAAGACAGAGCTGAAAATTAAGTCACTTAGCAAGGTTAAAAGAGTAGGGCCTGGAGTTCCCAGCACCTTTTAACGAAGGTTGCCGTTAAACTCAAGCATATCACGCGTTAAAATAAAGTTGATTCTGCATCAGGCACTTTAAGCCTTCTGCTGCTTCTCCCGTCGAGGTAATGAGGAGGAGGATTTATTATTATTTTTATTAGTATTAGCCACATAATCACAACGCAACTCAACACAACCTACAGAGTTTAAAAACACATCATAAAACCTAACCAAATAAGCAACCAATAATAAGAAGGAAAAAAACAGCAAGTCAGGGAAGTACAACAATCACTGAAATATCACACCTCAGACAGGAAGCTGGCTGATTTCTGCTTGGAGAAAGAAAGAGACCAACCCCAAAATTGCCGCAGCCCCAAGCTAGAGCTCTGGATGGCAGAGGACCAAAACCCACCAGTGGGATGCCAAGTTTTTATACCCAATGAGACTTGTACATTGGGGTAAAACGAGGCTGGTTGGTTGGTGTCCGTGATTTAGCATGTAGCTTGAGCCTAGCAAGCTTGGGCTTTAAGCAACGGTCCATGGTTTAGCACGTCATGTGAACTCAGCCAACTGAGGCTTTTTTTCCAATAAACCATGTTGAGACAGGCCAAGATGTAGCATGGTTTGTGAACCCAGCGCACGGTTGGCTGTATGCAGGTATAAAAGAGCCGGCTGCTAACTCAGCAAGCATTCCAAATCCCTCCGGGGACGTGGGGTCTCTGTAGCGCTATGCTTACACAACCGTGGAGAAAATGCCCAAGGGGACTGACCCCAAACAAGGAAAAGCGGTCTGCAGACAGGAGTTTGGCCCTTCCCGTTTTCAAAGAAGAGTGAGAGAGTAAGATCCATGCCATACATCCAATCCTAACGAGTTTTCT